AAATATTACAAACTAAAGTTCTATAATTCTAGTCAATGTAATGCAACAACGCGATAGAAATATGATATTAATTTGCACAATATCTGTAATTGTAATACAAGATTGATTTTCTTCATGTTGGAATTTGGGTGTGACCCGAATTCCTTTGTTGAAATGTTTGAAGTATTAAAAAATTCTAATTGAAGTGCACATCAAGGAGAATTCAAGTTTGAAGTCATACGTCAAGTTGAAGTTCTATTTTGAAAATCCATTAGGAGTTGAAAATTGATATTGGATTTGAAGAAGACTTCGACATGGAGAAGAATATCATTTGAGGCATTTTGAAAATTTTTGGCCCGTAACGCAGCACCTAGGCACTGGTTTGCTGTAGCCCATGGGCGCCAGGGATATAGCGCCTAGGCGCCATCTGTAACAATCGAGTTTTTTCTATTTTTTCTCTACTATTTCGTTTTGAGGGTTTGAACGTTCCCTACATCTTTCCTATAAATATTAGGTTCTCCTATACAATTTTATAAATGTGAGAAAATTGATTACTAGAATTATAGGATCCATTGTAATTTTCTCTCTTCTCCATTATTCTTGAGCCAATAAAATCTCTTAATTCTTCTACCATATTTCTTGTCTTTATTATTCTTTTGCTTGATCTAATACTTCATTATTTGTCATATAACTTCAACATCTCAAGCAATGTTCATACTCTCATAGAATAGCAGAAAGAGGATCATTGGAAGATCATCTAGCTGTATTTAAAGAGATCGTCACTGATTTGGAAACTTTAGAATTAGAGTACGATGAAGAAGATTTGGCATTGATCATTTGTGCTTGTTGCCTGCTTCATTTTCTTTATTTAGAGACATGCTCTTGTATAGTTGTGATACCTCACTATAGAGGAAGTGTATGATACTTTGTATTCAAAAGAGAAGATGAAGCATCTAGTTTCTGAAACTAGAGACGGAGAAATCCTAGTCACCCATGGTGGTTCCGGAAGGGGTAGATCGAAGTTTAAGTTTAGTAATCATATTTGTAACTATTGCAAGAAGAATGGACACATGAAGAAGGATTGCTACAAATTGCATAATAAAGAAAGGCTGACTGCAAGTCGATATGGGAAGCAATCAGATGCTTCAGTTGAAGCAGACCTTGCAAAGAACATTGATGGAGATCTCTTGACTATTTCTGACATCGAGTCTAAACCATAGAAAGATTGGATTTTTGATTCATTATGTGTGTTTCATATGTGTCCTAATGAGGACTTGTTTACTACATATGAAACTGTTTCCAAATGTGTCGTGGTTATAGGAAACAACGCACCTTGTCAGGTTGCTAGAATTAGTACGGTCAGATTGAAGATTTTGGATGGAACAATTAGAACACTTGGCCAGGTTCGACAATTTTCGGATTTGAAGAAGAATCTCATCTTGTTGCCTATCCTTGAAGATTATGAGTTTTTTGGTAGCGGTGGAGTTTTACAAGTTTGTAAGGATGCCCAAGTTGTATTGGAGGGACAGAAAATGTCTCAGTTATACATCTTGCAGGGTCGTGCAGAATTTAGAAGAGTTAATTAGCACAGGTTCGATACCGTGGTGGACATTCAGTTTGTTACAATACATTTAGGAACTCATAAATGGTCAGATTTGAAGAATACAGTTCAGTGGAGTTTAGAAGATATGGGTAATGCCGTTTTGCCACCATCACCTATTGTGCCATTGTATTCAGTTGCTAGAGACGGACCCAGTGGAACAAGGTATGTGGATGGTGATTTTGTTGAGCATGCTTTAAGTGGAGTAGAAGGTGTTCAATTTAGCAAGGGGCCTTCGGTAAAAGCATTTGGTATTGATTCTGTCT